ACGATGCTCGACGCTCTCGTAAGCAATCAAAGGACTAGTGTAATTTTGTTAGTGAATCTTCTGTTTTTACCTCTAATTCGGTCATCATGTTTGATTCGCACGTTACATATTGTAATGCAGCTTTGATACATCAACGAATATGATTTACTTGTATTGCGAGTAAAAGTTTCCCCTGATTAACACTTCGCGTATTTTAGAAATTTTTATTTAAAAAAATTTCAAACTATAATACTATGTATATGTTTTTTAGAGTCTTAAATATATATCTTCCTTTTTTAGACTGATTTAAAATTGCTAAGTAATTTTGCGAATTTTAGCATACCAACGAAAATAAGATTTTTTACTAATAAGTAGAAATGATAATCAAATTAAAAATCATGTACTTAAAATCAATTTTCATTTTTTTTGTAAATTATTCTTTAATTAGTACGTTAATATTAGAAATTAATCAACGCCTTTGAAATTTATTTTTACTGATTTTATCTAATGAGTGAAACTTTTATTTTACAATTGTATGAAATATTTATGCATATAATTACACATGCCAGAGAAATTGAATAAATTTGCGTCAAATTCTTGCTGCAAGCTGCATTATTAAGCATATTAAAATGGCCTTTAATTAAATCCTTCGCGATTATGCAAATTGTACGTAATTCATGAAGCCGTGAAAAAAACCGATTGATTTTGAACGAATTTTTGTCTACCTCGAGGCATTATTTCGAAATAATTCAAAATTATTTTCGGCTTATATTAAAATTGGCTGATTACCGTAGATTATTGTATAATTATTGTATTATAATAACATTTATTTTCACCAAATTTATTATTATTAATTCTAAGCCTATGGCGGATCTCGCGATGTACAATTAATTAGCGATCATTGTTTGGACTTTGTGCATTATTGATTAATCGCGAATTAGGACGCGGAAGTTTGTGAGGTTCCGTCTACTTCGAGATGCAGATCCGATAATGCAAATAATGAAAGAACTAATAAGGATTATAATAGGGTAGGACAGAAGTATCTGCAATGCGTCGTTCGATGTTATTTTCCTTATTATTCATCTTGTTATTCTTTGCAATATAAAAACAATTTGATTGTACTTTGACGCGTTTAAGTGACGTTGCAGCCTGAAAAAGATTTATCTCGCGACATATATTTTACAAATTTTCTATTCAGAGCCTGAATAAATCATCCAGTCGTTTTTAGACTTGACGTAGGATTTGTGTTAGACAAGTCGTTTTTTATTAATTTTAATTTTAATCAACTCGATTTGATTTTTTTAAAACAAGAACCGGAAAAAGATTTGATGATCAGAAGTAGACTGATAAACAGCAAGCGATTTCATTTAGTTTAATTTCTATTCATTGACAAGATTTAGCACGACATTTGCCGCAATGTCGTAATTCACGATTAATATTTGATGGATTGTTAATAAATAAATTGTTCATTTAATGTTCGCGTATAGAGTATCGTGTTCGTTCAACAGACTTATTCATCCAATATATTTTACTTGATTAATCTGATCATGATAACGATTGCTATTTCATCGCAAGAAAATAGAAAATATTAAAAAGGAAAGCTAATTTATTTCTTAAATCTACAGATTTCAACGAATTATTTTATTTCTCTATCGAGACAAAACCACTTTTAAATCTAAATGTAATTCGATATATTTTAAACGTCTGAGAGCATGAATCGTTCGAATTATACACGCTGATAATTTCGCGAAATTGCAAGATTCTTCGCTGCATAATGATCTGATTTTGAGAATCAAAAAGATATCTAGTACATTTTGACTAAGGAAGAGGAATGTCGTATTTTTGGGAGTCTAATAAAATAAAAATAAAACCGATCGATTCTTTAAGTCGTAGGACTACTTTTGTTTATTCAAAATTCCTCAATTATCTCATTTAATTATTCCACAAAAAGTTCCACTTGAAATATTTAGATTCTCTAATATTTTAATTATCTTTATTGGATATTTGAAATTTCTTTTGATAATTTGCATGCAATTTCAGAGAAATTGAACATAACAAAAAAAATATGAGAATCGAGAAGTGTGCAATATATTCAAATGTTTTTTATCTTTACAAAAAATAATTTTGCCAAGTTTTTTAATGAATCATTTATTTAAGATGATCGTGTTTATCCTAATCGTTCCTCGATTATCAATTATATGACTTGGAATTATTACGCGATTATTACGCCGCGATCTACGCAGAATATATAATTATCTTCAATCAAATTGCATATCACCGACCGAATCTCAGGAGAAGCTGATTAGAGTTATCGGAAGCGCGATGCGGAAAGTCGAACAATTATCGTAGCCGCGATCCTAGACCGATTTAACGTCTCTCACCCTGTTGTCCACCCGATGCTGTTTATCTTAAAGGATGAATAATTCCAAATAATTGTTGATAAATGGTCAGTCCTGTATATAATGCTAAGGGAGGGAAAGAGAAACGCGTGCCACTCGTCGCTGCACGACGAACACAAGCGAAGGCAAAAACACATCTCGTTGTTCCAAGTTCAGAGGACTTCTTCTCATTTTCGTCCTGGCGAGGCATTTTTAAAGTCTTCGTCCTCGTATAATTCGTCCGATTATAATTATTGAATCGAAATGCGAAAAGAACGCGATTCTATCTATGGGCGGTTTTGATAGGACGATTTTCTTTGTTAAATAATTATAGATATTATGATTCAATTATTTTCTTCGATCAAGAATGTCGATAGAATTAATGCTTATTTTCGTGAAAACAAATATTAGATTGTAGAAAGAATTTTTAAAACTTACCCTAAAAATTATGGTAATTGTGGAACAATATGATATTGAAAGAATTTTATAAGAGATTTTTTGATTGATGTTTGCTACAATAAAAAATATTATCTACCACAATAAGATATAAAAAATATGTTTGATTAATTTTATTAAAATTTTAATAAAATTTGTTATGTACATACAGTGAAAAAAATTTATTGACTTCCAATAAATATTTATTTCAATACTGCCAAATAAATAATAAATTATTTATTTGAAACTAATAATATTGATTTGATGTGAAAAATATTGATTTGATATAAGAAAATTCTTTTCATACAAATAAATATTTATTTGTTTCAAATAAATGATTTATTAGGTAGTATTGAAATAAATATTTAATTTAATAATTTTTTTTCAGTGTATTAATATTTTTTATCGTGGTAAATTTTAACCAAAAAAACTTTTATAAAATTCTCCCAATATATTGTCTCACGATTACCATGATTTTTGGGTAAATTCTAAGAGAAAATTCTCTCCATGTAATTGGGTCCATGTTAATTAAATTTTTTTTCTTTAAATCTGTGCTTAGAAAAAGAATAATCTAAGCGTTAAAAATAATTAGATGTCCAAGTTTTGCAGAACTTTTTTGTTCTTCCGATGCCTATATATAAGCATCAAGCAAACAAGACGCAAGAAAAAGATGTAAATGTAATAACCACTCACCACGTGTTGTCGTCTCTTCTGTAAATACTGTCCTTTGAATTTGGGACACTGCAAGGTCCGAAAAAGCCTCTCTCTCTGTGATCGATGATGAGAAACACAATCCTGAGATCGGCGGGTCGAGATCAGATCTGTAACACCGGATCATCAGTCTTGAGCGACGAATGCGCACTGTTAGTGTGTAAAATATTAGCGAATTAGGGACGATTTAATTGCGATCAAGGATATTACCTACCTACCTACCTACCCACTTTAGTGGACATGGGCCAAACTCGGTATATTATATTAATATACGTACAAAAGCTTTTGGCCCATCGCCATGACCAATGAAGTAATAAGGGATGAAAGAAAAGGAAAAAAAGAAAAAAAGAAAATGAAAACAAAAATAAAATTGTCATCTAATTACATTTTTACGCACTCCAAATTTTTATCCTCGTCATTTGTATCATAGCAACCATGTGTTTAAAGAAGGATCCACATTATATGTATGTAATCAAAATTGTAACTGAGATAAAACGTTAATAAAAAAACGATATCCGAAACTTGCCTGTGATAAATAAACCTCATCCGTTGCCGGTGCTTATTTATTCTCGACACTTATGCACACTATATATGATCTTTAACAACGATTACGATATATTATTTTAATCTTTAATAGTTTTTCGTGGTGGCGACTTTCCGCTTTCCGAAGAATCAAATTCAATCACTTCGTTCAAAGAAATAGGATGGAGATACGAACGCGATCAACAAACGAAGAAACATTGAATATATAGTCACTAATCTCAAGTTTCAAAGAACTCATCAACGCTCCGATGTATCGAAGTATCGTCGATATATCGATTTATATAAATCGCGCGCACACCTGTCAAAATGCCCTCTAGTGGCTAGTTGGGGTACTAAAATCCCTACCGAATGACAATTTATTACACTAGGGTGCATCTTGGATAGAGATACTTTAGTGCCCTTGAAATAAAAATTAAATAAATTTAAGATTAATAAATTTATAAATTATAATTTTTAATTTATAAATTAAAATAATTAAATTTATATATAAATAAATTAAACAAAATTAAATAATTTAAATATTTTATATTAAACTATTAATTAATATTATTTTTAAATAAATTAAATTTTATTAAAATTATTAATATTAAAATTAAAATAATGAAACTTGAAATTTAAATTTATAAATAAATTTCAAAGAACACTAATAAGATTCTTTCAGGGATCTCTAACCTCTCTGATTATACAATCGACACGCGTTTAAAGGAAAAAAAAAACGGTACGCATAGATGAATACAAATTATAGCTATAGAATGAACGAATACCATAAATTCCTAGAAATCGAGATGCAATGTTGTTTTTTCCTTACCTTCTTTTCTTCTTCTGAAGGGGAGTGAAGAATTGAAACGTGCGCGACGTGTCGTGAAGATTCGAATCTCGAACCGCGAGAGATCGACCCTCCCCTCTCTCTCACCCCTTCTCCTAACCCCAATGCGATGCGCACATGCTCGCGCAACTCATCCCTTCCGTCCATCGACAATCGATGGTTATGTATGCATACGGGCGATGATGATGAAGATGATGATGATTTCCTTGCATAATTAATTTAATAGCGACTTGGTATCGAGTGGTAACAATATATTGATTAAAAAAAAAAAAAAATACGCGTTTTATATAAACACGTTTACGATCAATAGAGAGCCCAGGAGAGACCAAGAGACAGAAAACCGACACAAAGTGTTACGTAGATCATCGCGAGTCATCTGTGAAGGAAGAATTTGTATATATATATATAAATATTACATATGTAAATAAGTGATCACACATCGCATCCGTAATCGAAGCTCGAGTACGATGTACACGTGGAAAGTGACCGGTCATGCCTTGAAACGATTCAGCGCGAATTGCAGCGGTCACAACGGCAGATTCCTCCAGGGCATCGTTTTGCAGCATCGCAGCCCGAAGACGCCAAATCGGAGCAAGTTCGGCAGTTACCGCAAGAGAATAAGTCTGTGGTTCCGCGAACAGGGCACCCAGGTCACCCAGGTCTGCAAGAGACAGTTCGAGTTTGTCGCGGCTCAGCGTATCAGACGGTACATCCAGATCTTTCATCTGTACACGAGGATATGGGACGAGGTAGCGTTGAGGGAGTTCATGCGCTCCTGGAGGTTGAGACTCGCCAGGAACGCCAGGAACTTCCTAGTGAGCGCGGTCGGCGTCACCGCGTACAATTGGGATCGAGATAGGATCAGCGATGAGGAAATTAATAGGTGGTGTTTGTGTGACAAATATTATATGGAGTTTGTGTTAACATTTTGGAATAATAATTTTCTAATGATATTTTTGTATTTATTTTTGCAGGTATAATCGTGAGATTGAAGGAATTTATAAGTTGCGTGACAACACAGTAGTCTGCTCCAAGTGTCACTTGCGAATTGTCATCGATGCTGTACAGCCTAATGTAAAATATTGTAAATGTAATCAAGTTCAGTCCTCTGTCTCTAGTAATCAAGATTGTAAGTTTTTTTGCATTGATTATTCAACATTCAGATGTTTTATACATTTCTTATATATATATATATATATATTTCATTACTAATTTATAAAATACACACAGCAGAAGATTGGCAGCCTTTTATCGAACGTCAAGATATGTTAATATGGAGAAAAAAAGAGCCTGATTCTGGAGGATTATTTGCGTACAAAGTATATGGTTCATTTTCCGATGTTACTGCCGATGATTTTTTGCAAGTACAAATTGATGTAGATTATAGGAAGCAGTGGGATCCCACTGCTCAAGAATTACAAATTATTGAGACTGATCCAAAGTCAGAATCATCCACTAATCATAGTACTGACATTATTCATTGGGAAATGATCTGGCCTGTAAGTCTGGTATAATATACTATGTATTATTGTGGAATAGGTCTTCTCACTTAATAATTAATTAATTTGCATTGCGTAGAAATTATTTTCTAACAGAGATTACGTATATCAACGTCGATGGATCGTGGATAGAGAAAAGGGACTTGTGATTATTGTGAGTCGAGTTACAGAACATCCTGATGTGCCAGAAAGACGGGGAATTTACAGGTATGTAAAAAGATTCCAGAGATGATTTATGTACATGTGTGTTTATGAAATATCGTTAACTTGATTGATCAATCCTCTTTTCTTGTATATTAAATGATATAGAAATGATTTGGTTGAATGATTGCATATAAATAATTAAAATTAAATATAAGATTAAATAAATTCTTTTTTATTAATCTGAATTTTGTATGTAACAGGGTCAAGACATATTGGTCGTTCATGGTAATAAAGCCTTATACAGAATTCCATGAGCCAGGCATCGAATTTGGTCTTACTTACTTTGATGATCCTGGTGTTGCTGTGCCATCCCCTGTTACTGCATGGGTAGCATTGAGAGGTCTGTTTCCTTTTTACAAAGTGAATGATAAGATCTTCAATATATTGTGATAATAATTATATACGTACATATTTTAGGTTTACCAGACTTTCTAGTTCGCATGAGACAGGCCTCAAAGGATTACCAAAAATATAAACTGATGAAACAAACAGCTGCATCTAATAACGGTCCTCTTACGTTACCTGAAGAAGACGTTTCCAAAGAACAAATTAAAGTTGATGCAGAAGATAATTTAGACAACGATAAAAAATCAATGAGAGATTATCAAGATTCAAGAGATGATTCTGATAACAGTACTGATAAATTGGATGTTACACATGATGTACAGCGAGAAAATGATTTACCGGAAACTGAAAATAAGGACCCAAATTCTACACCAAAAGAAGAGCAAGGTCTATTACATTACTTCTATCTTACAAAATTATTTGCATTTTTGGATATATGACAATTGGATTTGATGTAACTTTTGACTAGTAGATATTTTAATGTGATTCCATATGAAGAAAATAATCTACTATTGATAAGAAATAGAGCAGGTTTATGGAACGAGCAATATTTCATTAATGTATATTGGACAAATACTACGTGCTTTTGTGTATAGCAATATGAAATTGTGAATATATGACAACTCATCCATTCTTCATTTAATCAGTAATTTTCACTTTTTATAAAAAGAAAAAACATAAGCAAGTAATGAGACTGATTAAGTGTGTCTTTATGATTTTATTTTATTTGTTTGTTGAAACTCTTTGTATCATGTGTAAACATTAATGAATAAGAACACACAGAAGATAATCTTTTATGGAAAAATAATGAATTGAACTAATTTGATAATTTATATGATATATAAATAGATATCTAATATAAAAAAGCAAATCAAACTTATTGTTTCTCTTTAAACATTATAAAACAAGTAAGATATATTTGTATATTGTTTAGTGTAAATTTCTACTAACAAAAATTTTAATTTCTTTTTCAAGTTATATCTTTACAGTACTTTTTACAGAAAGTTATATGCAATTTAAATAATTGATACAATTTATGCTCTATTATTGAATGTTCTTGACTTCTTTTTGTATCTCAGGGAAATATACATATAAAGTTATATTTATTATCAATTAATTTTCCCCCTTTCCAAAAATTATACATATTATACATACAAAATATCTTAATTGTTTTATATTATATATATATATATATATATATATATTTGCACAGAAAATGTAAATACATAAAATATATAAGCATATTCAAATATTATATCGCCATACCTGAATAAACAAAGCGAAAATAGTGTCGTTATATATATATATATATTCTTTAAATATGTATTATAATAATATTGTATAAGAAATTAATAGAAAGTGCAATTGTAATAATTTTATTAGAATAATCATTATGTAAATAAATTGTATGTGTTAATTATATAATGTCAATATGTTTGGCGTTTATTTTGTAATACTCTATTTCTACTAAATACAAAATATTACATTTATATCATTTTTGATCATTTGTAGATGTTGGGTATTATTTTTTAAGAAAGGTATGCTAAAATAGATTTATTGAGAAATAAAAGTATTTGTACATATAAATTATATTTTAATATAAGCTTATAATATAAAGAGTAGTTAATTAATAGTTTTATAAATCTTTTTTACTATACAATTTCATCAAACGCACCAGATATAAGAATATCACCTTCTATATCGAGCTTGAAAACGATTTCTTCTGGCAAATTCTTTGGGGTAGACAAAAAACCTGAGCAGTCTTCATCGTGACATTTTTGATACAGTTTTTTCTTATTTAAATCCACAATCCAATATGTTGTTACTTTTATGACATCTGCCAATGTTTTCACAGTACCTATATAAAACAATATAAAAAAATACGTTTTTTTATATTATTTTATGTATCAAGATAAATTTATATATAGAAATATATAGAAAAGCATATTAATAGATGTTTATTATTATACTACCTGTTACCATAAATTTCATATCTCAATATTTTGGTTTTATCAAAATATTTAACAATGCGTATTTTGCCAGGATCAACAAGATTGTTAATATATTTGTCTATTTCAGGGTATGGTGAGATTTGATTATCATCCTTGCGATTGTATTGAATTGGCGTCTTTGAATAAAGTTGAGCTTTTACATCACTTCTATTAGAAAACTCGAGCAGAATTAAATTTGGTTTGTTTGGGAAATATGATATTAAGGAATCTAAAAAGATTCCTAACTCCTTATCTCTGCATTTATATACTGGATTATGCATACAATCTGGAGAAACTGTTAAATACGATTGTTTTCCCCATTTAGTGGAAAGATATATTCTGAACTGTCTATTCTTTGTATAGACACCATTGTCAACAAACAATTTTTTGCCCTGCTTTGTCTCCACAAACATTTCCTCAATATCCGCTTTATTAAATTGATTTAAAATTCCATGCGACTGTGTATCTGATTTTAGGTAGAGCATAATATCATTGTATATAGTTTTGATGAACTTTCCAACATGTGAGTTATCTTTAAAAGCCATATCCTTCATAGTGAAAATCACATGTCTGCTGAATTTTGTGCTAGATGTAGAGTCCAGTATTAAAAAGTTATTTCTATCACACAATAAGTGATAGTGAGTAAGTAAATACACAATTATAATATCTATTAGTGTTTTGGTCATGCGTGATCCATTACATAGTGGATTCAACTCGATTAGATATTCCAAATCCAGGTACAACCAGCACGGCGAATTTTCTGGTATTACCTGTTAAAAGTTTAAGCCACTTTTTTAAAAACTTGTGTAACAAGAACAAAGAGCATATTAAAAAAATATATTTCATCTAAAAGTTATACTACTTGCAAAATGTTCTTTTCATGACTTAAAGCGTGATTCTAATATAATTGTATGTAATAACTTAAAAATTTTGAATTAGAAAAATTTTTATATAATTTTATATTTTATACAATTTTGTATAATTACATTTATAATATTATAATTATATATATATATATATATATATATATATTTATAGATTAATAAAAAAAGTATAGATATGTGCGTATAGATTTTATAAATGATGTATGCGTAATTTTATAAATTGTACAATATATAACAGTACAATCAATAGAAAAATATATAGAGAAATATATTTAAATATTCCTTAATAAAATAAGCAAAGCTATATGCCTATTCACCTCGTATGAACATTTTTCTTCTGGCGGTTTTTCCTTGTAATACCACCAATAAACCTCTGGATGAGCGACGACGAATCTGCGACTACCATCGCTGGGCTGTTGATACGCAAAAGTGCAAAGCGTGTCTATTTTATTGCTATATTTGACAGCCGCTGTCAGGGCATCGGTTTGTCGGTAAAATTCCTGCCAATATTGCGTCGGGCCTAGTATATGCGAAGGCATAACCCGACGTGTTTTCACCCAGTTAACCTTAGATTTGTCTGTGCGCTTCGACACTTTACCGCCGTAAAACTTTTCCGTGCAAATCGTATCCATCGTGCTTTACTTTATTATCGCGTGAATAAATAATTCATGCGATTTCGTGATCGTTTTATCGCGATTTGAAGACTTAAACACGTCTTTCGTAAAGATACATACATGTTGTGTTCGGAACAGCTGAGCTAAACCCATTTCCCGCCAATTTTGTGACAGCTGTCACGTGATAGCTGTCATATGACTTGAATATTTATATTCATATTGTCAGTCTAGTTCTGTAGTTTATATTATGTATATTGATTTTTTTAATTATATTGATGCAATAGACATAATATAAATAAGTATAATGATGATGATGTAATTTAAAGAATATAGATGAAAATAGTAAAACATAATTAGAGAGAGATTCTATCTCTTTAACGAAAAAAAAAGTGAATGTATTCGAAATAGCTAAATTCACACGTGCATACACATAAAATGCATATGCATGCACAAATAATTGGTAGGTAAAAAAATAAATAAATAAATCTCTAATATATTCATGAGATGTATTATAATACGAGACAAAGAGTATATATATTTATTTTTTCTGAGAAATTTTAGAAAATAGATTCTTAGAGCTTATATAACTTTTTTTAAGATTGCAATCAGCCAATTAAAATATATGTTCTAATACTGCAGCACTATATGCATTGATTAAGTAAAAATCATTATAGTATATATATATATATAATATATATATATATATATATATTATTCCAAGAAAAATATTATTCCAATTAGATTTTGCATCGTTTCATCATCGCGACTGTTCCGAATTTAACAGGAAACCGGTCGTACGTGAAAGTGTGGTCTGCTGTCGTTGCACGTATTCAACTGGATTCGTACAACACAATATCGTGAAATGATTGGTACGTTTCGATTATCCATTGTATGCAAATTGTTTTTCGTACTTTAACTTAGAAATTAGGTGACACATATTCATTCATCCACGTTATACATCGCCTTCTATTGTATCCTGATCTTTTGTGCTCGTTGTGTATACTCATCAAATTATACGCACATGACTTTGTTCTCGTGAATGAATGTATTAAATTAATGATATTTATGCTTACTGTTAGATACAAAAATGTGCAAATAGAAATAAGAATACGTTAACTTTAAATAAAAAAAGGACACATTACAGAAAAATAATTTTATATAAATTTTGTAAGAATTTTTATTTAAAATAAATAGTCTTTTCAGAATTTATAAAACTATATTCCATTAAATATCTGCGTTTATTACTGTATGCATCAAATGGAAAATTCGGCATATACAATATATTGTTTAAAATATTAATTATTTTGGACTTACAATAAATAGCTGTGCTATAATTCAGAATTTTCTATAATAAATTTTCTATTACAGATCAACATAATTTCGATGTCACCAACTGCTTCGATCGGTGAGTATATATATAACAAATTTTAATTTTATTTACATATTTTTAGATAACAAATTTGTAATGATTGTAAATATAGATTATAGATTGTATATATTTCCATTATCTTAAAATGGATGGATTAGAACAAATCAGGTGGAAACTTTTAATAGATTATTTAACAGATTAAATTAAATGATTTTTAATTTGCTAATATGCTTTTTTCATACACACACGTATTACAAGAGTAAATTTAGGGTATAAATTAAAAGAGGACTATATAAAGAATTTTTTTAATTATACTTACTAACTTATTCTTATAACGCGCGATGATTCTATTCAATTTTTAGCACATCCATCTATATTCAAAGAATACCAAAAAACTTTACTTTATCGTGTAAATCCAAGTTATCGATTAATTGAATTACATGTAATTGTGGCAATAAATCATATTAACATTTATTTTATTATTAATATAAATTATTAATATATAAAATTAACATAAACTGATATCAAAGTAAATTTTTTTAAGAGGAATTAAATTATGTAATGAACAGTTGCTCATACAGTGAAAGAGCCGAGAAATCGGCAACATATATACGGAAAAGCAGTAACGATAAACTTGGAAACTTTCGCGAGGATTTCGATGCATTCCATAGTATCGATTCCATAGTATATACGGATACACGGATATATAACATTGGAAAGAAAGTGTCTCTTGCTGGATGTGAGAGTTACAGTTTTCGAACTTATCGTGGCGAGTCGCTTACGCGAGAATTAACGAAGTATACATAAATCCGTCTACCAGGCATAGCTGGTGCCGAAGCCGGTGAAGGCGGCGTGCACCACGGGTGCGGCATGAGCCTCATACGCATAAGGGGCGGCGTAAGTCTTGGCGAGGACTGGGGCGGGATGAGAAGCATACGCGAGAGTCGGCGCTAATCCATGTGCGTAGGTCTTGGCGATCAAGGGGGCTGCCACTGGTGCCTTGGCGATGAACGGGGTCGCGTAGGCCTTCGTCAGGAGCGGGCTGGCGTAAGAAGCGGCAGGTGCGTAAGCGTAGCTCGCCTTGGCGAGGATCGGTGCAGGATGAGCGGAGTACGCGGCTAAAGCAGGTGCGGCATAAGCGGTTTTCGCGATCAGAGGCTGCGGTGCGGCGATCAGCGGCTGCGGTGCGGCGAGCAAAGAATGCTGAGCGGCGATGAGAGGCTGCGGTGCGGCGATGAGAGGCTGCGGTGCGGCGATCAGAGGCTTGGCCAAAGCCGGGGCGGCGTAAGTCTTGGCGATCAATGGGGCGGCGGCGTAGCCGATGTGATGCTCCAGCAGGTCGTTGCTCACGCGGCTGTTGCTCACACGGACAGACGAATGTGCGGAGTCCTCGGCCCGGCTGTACGAGGACACCACGTTCTGGCCGCCATAGCCCTTCTGCGTGGACTCCTGGCTGTAGCCGATGCTGCTGAGATCGGCGGACACGGTCCCGATGTCGTAGGCCGCTGGTCCTCCGGCGTTCGCCACCGCCACGAAGACTGCTAGTATCACGAACTGCGAAGAATATTGCCATCATGATATAAATATATAGTAATATAAAATAATATGTAAATTGATGTATTTATGTACCTACATAGAGAGACTTTTTTCTTAGAATTTACCTTGAAAATCAAAATTTACCTGGAAAATCGTGGAACAATATGATATTGGAAGAATTTTATAAGAGTTTCTCTGAATATTTACCACAATAAAAAATATCAATATGTACATGGTAAAATTAATTGAACATATTTTTTATATCTTATTATGTCAATTTAATATTTTTTTTATTGTGGTAAATATTTATCAGAGAGAAACTCTTATATAAAATTCTTCCAATATAATATTGTTTCACGATTGTCGCATGAATTTTAGGGTAAATTCTAAAAGAAAATTCTTTCTGTGTAGTTTTAAGATAATCAATTTTACACAGAAAAAAGTTGTTAACTTGACTAAACCTTTCAACTAAATGATATTTTGTTAATTGAACATATAAAAATATTTAAATATAACATTAAATCTAAAACATGTATTTGACTTAAATACTAATATATGTTCAATTAACAAAATAGTAATTTAGTTGAAATTAATTTCAAGTAATTTAGTTCATAGTCAAGTTAACAATTTTTTTCAATGCATTTAAACATTATTTCTATTTATTCCTTTATTTGACTTATTAATATATGAGGGATATAAATAGTAAGATGTATTTGTAAAATGACTGCTTTGATTATATAAATAACTGAATGTATTTATTTGATATTTTATTATAAACTTGTGCAGGGAATATCTTCTTTAGCATAGAACGCTATTATTTCTAATATTTCAAAACTTGCATTCTTTGCAATCTCTATTATTTATTGATATGCATGTAAAAAGAAAAATACTGAAAGAAAAATACAAGTGCTCGACAATATGTTGATGTACGTGTCTGCTCACCTTAAATGCCATTTTGCTTGTTGAAGGAATAACTACTGGATTCTGTTGGAAATGGTATCTGCCAGCCACTATTTATATGCGGGTAAGATTGTAGGGGGTTCAATCGAATTTTGGGCTCAAACTTGTTCGAAGCGATTGGGCATGGCTGTGGGAGAGGGAAACGTATATGAAACTTCTTTGTAGGAAATCATTCAGAAAGGAACATACGAAGGTGCAGAAGGAGAGGAGGTAGAATAGTCGTTCGAGAGAAGGAACATGGACGAATTTCGGGCGTGGTCCCCGATCAAGAAATTAAGATCGCGCATCTGATACAGAACAGCAGCTTGTCTCAAGAGCGCGACAATTATCATGGTAATAATAACTTTTCATTTCGTTTTTGCCGTCCGATTGCTTATCATCACGCGGAATATTTAAATATCCTTCTTGAATGATCATCTGCAAATGTAAAGACATGTCCTTCTTGAATGATCATCTGCAAATGTAAAGACATGTAATTAATTATAACGTTTTTATTATAGTTTTTATTATTCCCCTTTGTAAAAAAGAAATATAGATATAGATTTCATAATAAAAAGTATGTTTCTCATGATAATGCGATTTTCTTAATAAAGCGCGATCGGTCAATATTTGTATATTAATTTTTCGTATATATATTATATTTGCTCAGATATAAAATATAAATACTTGCTTGCAAAGTTTACTCATTGATCAGCATAATAAAAAAACTAGATGATATAATTCTCGTTCGCTTATTATCTCGTATTCTTATTACGTGTCATGTGATGTTTATATCATGACATTGTAGAACTTGCCAAGGACTCGCTTTCTCCAAATTCTCACATTAACGTAAGCGTTGTCATATATGTAACAGTGAAGAAATACGTAACATTTACTGCTCTCGTTATTAGATATATAAAAAAATGGGCGTGATCGCCTACGCGTATAGTTTTATAGTCTCAAGAATTAAATTTTTAATAATGAATTTATAAGAAATTCTAATTCGAAATTTTAACTTAAATTATTATGTGCGTATAACTTTTTTGAGAGAAACAAATATTACTTCAGAGAAACAAACATTGTAGATTAAAATAATTAATTAAAGTGACAATCGCACACACACAATTCCCTGATTTATAAATTTGTTCCTCATCTCGCTAATTATAAGATCGATCGTTATATATCATAATGAAAATGAAAGGTGCGATTAATCTTAAACAGAAAACAATATTTCGAATAAATTCATACAGAACATAATTTCTTCTTTTTAAATATACAGGCAATAATATATAGATGCAAATATATATCAAAACGGATTAAATCAGTAAATGTGATAAATAGAATGATAATAAATACAAAAATGAATGATATTATGATTTCGATTTCGACGTTTTTAATTTACCAATTAATTTAAATATCATCAATTGTAGATTATTTCATATTTTTATCCTTATAATTATTTGCACAATTTATGCAAATTAAATCGGAATAATCTTGAAATCGAGTTATTTAGATTTTTTGTTTCTCTTAATATTTGTTACAACTATACTATATTTAATTAAAACTGTTGCGCTATATTTAATTAAAATTAAAATTTAAATTATCTAATAACTTTTCCAACAAGCTCTTTTCAACAAAATTGTCTGAAGAAAATATTAGGATTCTTAGAGACTCAGTTGAAATATTTATAGATAACTAATAAAAAGTGAATAAAAAATGTATACAATGCACATTTTCATCGAAAAGCACCGACGAAAAGCGGCCCTTTGTCTGTTTAAAGTTGATCGCCACTGCTTTAGGTGATGGTGCTAGGTCACGGACAGGCGTACCCCTTCACAAGAGTAAGAGTCGTTGTATTTTCTCCTTTGTAAAAGTATGCTTTATGCGAAGATTACGTCCATCTTTACGTCCGTGACCTAATATCACACCCTAAACCCTTTATTTTACGATTGGCAATTGTAGCACCGGCAATTTTAGACTTTCGCAAGAATGCGCAAGTAAAAAACGTCACGTGTATAAATTCAAGCATATTTAATATGTCGCAACTGTTATATTAAATATTTGATAAATTATATACCTCATTTCCTGTAAAATATATACATAGAGAGTTTGCAAAATTTCTGTTTAATAAATTAATATAATAATAATTTAATATATAACATATAATTATAATTATATAATAAAAAATAATAATTTTAACGTAAAGTAATAAATTCAATTCATATAAGTAAAACTTATATCATTGAAACAATTTTTTTATTTACGAATTAATTAAACTTTATGAGATTAAATATCGTAAATATATGAAGTGATTCAATATAAATAGACTAGTGTTATTTATAATATGCAAAACATATGTGACTGCCTTTTAATTTTCTCATTTTAAAATAATTAATAATGAATAGTGCGGATCTTCCAAAGTATATGAAATTTATATTGCAGGTGAAAATTATTATAAAAATTATAGTAGTTTCACAGTATTTTTTAAAAATATTATTTATGCAAAAAGCGATAAAAAAAAAGACGACGAGGATGGGATTCGAACCCACGCGTGCAGAGCACATTGGATTAGCAGTCCAACGCCTTAACCACTCGGCCACCTCGTCACGCGTTAGTTCCTGTTCAAAGTATATATAATAAGAAATAACATATTGATTTATTCGCAATCGTATTAGTCAGCAACTTTCACGAGTTGCATAAGATATAAAAAACAGTCTATTTTAATGTATCAGCATCAGTCTGTGTAAGCCAGCAAATATATAAGTTGTTAGCAAATCTACAATATGCAGTTTATGCATTTTATTTTGTGAGTACCGCAAAACAACTCCAAATAATAATCGTGATAGCCAGTGAATAACGCATATTATGTGTTGTGCATTGCATATTTCATGCATATATCAAACAAATTAATAAAAAAATTTGCTTATTAATTGCTAGATTAATAAATTATAAATAACTTAATAGTTTTATTACATAAAATATTGATATTATTTTATTAATTTCTATAAATGTTACATAAAAGTTACCAGTGAATTATTGATGTGTATATGAGATTAGTTTCTTTAAATATATTTTATATAAAATGCAATATTATATTTATTATATACCAATATATATTTATATATATGAAATATAAATATATATATTTATATATAATATATATATATATATATATATATATGTGTGTGTGTGTGTGTGTGTGTGTGTTAATTGAACATTTTAACTATTTTACATTATGTACAATTATGTAATGTAGTTATATTAACGTCAGAATATAATATATTGAGAAAATATTTAAGAACATTAAATTATTGTGCAGTGATTTATATTAATATATGCAACAAGTTACAATAACGTTACTCTTTGTATGTCGAAATTTTTGCGATAAATCGCAATCGTAATAGGAGCACATACAGTGATAAAAGAAAACATAAAAAAATATATATAAAAAAAATTCTTCTACATCATATCTACAACGATATCGTATAGAGTAAGGTCATTTAGATAATGATATCTGCTTTACCCTACACGATTCTCCTTAATTCCTCCTTAATTATTCCTACAATGTTCTGTTAGCAATGGCGTACGTTATTATTGTGTAAGTGACTCGCTCTCTCTCTTTTTCCCTGAGAAGTTTTCAAACTTTTCTGCATTAATTAATTCTCGAGCGCAATTATAGTGGATAAACTCGATTGAGTAATCGTGTATCTCCACCACTTCCCTCAGCGTACGATAATAGAGCTCTTAAAGTCGATGTGTGCACTGTAGCAAGTTTTAGTATAAGGCTTGATCACATCATGATAGAGTCGCTGGAGTTTACGCCGGTATACGACGATACCACTACAAAATTCCTGCAAAATGAATTTGCAAGACTTAAAGGTAATTAAAAATATATCTCACACACAATAACATGTATATTTTTATAAAATTCTTATTTTTTTTACCAGATATCGACATAGCATTAACTTCTTACAATTTTTTCCTGTTATTCGAGATTTAACTTTGTTATGATGACGTGATGACAAGGACAACTTGCATGATGATATATCATTTTAAGTATTTACGTAATAAATTCTGTTATTATGTACAGAATATCTCAAAACTATTAATTTTTTTTCAACTTTTACGATTTATTTTGAATTGTTTTATATAAAATCTATATGCTGTGGTTAGTAAAATCAGTATTGGAATACTGAATTATTATAAGATAAATAATAAAAGGATTATATATCGATAACAAAATAATATATTTAATATTCATGCGCGAAATAGATGAAATGTGAATAAAATGTTATATATAATTCTCTTTCTATTACTTTATTGGCATCTTTTTTATCTCAGGCGAATGCTATGTGGATCACGCGGGTGCAACTTTATACTCGGATACACAAATTAAGAATGTTGGTGCCGATCTGCATGGTTGTCTTTATGCTAATCCGCATTCTCTCGGCATCGGGAGTTTATCGACACAGGATATTATCGAGCGCATGAGATATCGGTGAGACATCACATAAATAAAAAGAAAATGGATGATAACAAATTAATTCAAATTATGACTTAGGATTTTGAGTCACTTCAATACGACTCCCGATGACTACAGCGTTATTTTCACCTCGGGCGCTACAGCGGCTCTAAAGATAATTGCGGAAGGCTTTCGTTTCAAGGCGAATAAAAATAACGAGACAACCCGGTGTACGGGAAATTTCGTTTACGTCCAAGACAACCATACGTCGGTTCTCGGAATGCGAGATGTAGCTGCTGCTAGAGGTGCCAAGGTCATTTGTCTCGACCATAATCGGGCGTTTCGAGTCTTCAGCCAGCATGAAACCTCTCGTGATCTCGATGAACGACAGAGCAGCAATTCTCTTTTTGTATATTCCGCACAATGCAATTTCTCCGGAATGAAGTATCCCCTTAAGTGGATCGAAGATACGCATATCGGAGTGCTTTCTAGTGTTGTTGATGAACCATCGACTAGGTGGTACGTTTTACTCGACGCTGCTGGCTTCGTGCCGACGAATAATCTGGATTTATCTAATTTCAAACCAGATTTCGTGTGTGTATCTTTTTATAAAATATTCGGTTATCCCACTGGCATCGGCGCCTTGCTAGTTAAAAATTCCAGCTCGGATATCTTGGAGAAGATTTATTATGGTGGCGGGACCGTGGATGTTGCTCTCAGTTCCGAAATATTTCACAAAAAACGTCCAGTTTTACATCAAAGGTAGAAGAATCACACGTACCTACAAAATAAAAAAAATATTTAAAAATGATTTTTGCAGATTCGAAGATGGAACCGTGTCGTTTCTGTCCATCGTATCGTTGAAGTATGGGTTTGAGATACTTTCAAAACTTACCATGGATAAAATATCAATGCACGTGTTTTCTCTAGCCCGAGTCTTGTATCATTCCTTATTAACATTACATCATTGCAATGGTGAACCAGTTGTAAAACTGTACTCCGATTCTGACTATGAAGATCACAGCACACAAGGAGGTATCGTTACATTTAATCTCATCCGATCCAATGGTGAATACGTAGGATACATGGAAGTCTTAAATATGGCAGCACTATTCAAAATACATCTCAGAACAGGCTGTTTTTGTAATCCTGGTGCCTGTCAGAGACACTTATCCCTTTCTACTAAAGAAATTCTTCGAAATTACGAAGCAGGATATACATGCGGTGGTGCCGCAGATTTAATAAATGGAAAACCGACTGGAGCAGTAAGAATCTCCTTTGGATATATGTCTACGGTTCAAGATGTTCAGACAGTTTTACTTATGATCACAAAATGTTTCGTTGATAAACCATGCATCAGAAAATTTCCACAATGGTGGGAAGAATATAAAATCAGAGTCCATAAAAAATACAGACACTTTTATAATTCTAACATCATAGATTATTCTATTCTACCTATTACAAATATTGAGAAAAATATTGCAAACAATAATTTGCGAAATAATTATCATAATAAAAGTGAAGGCGATTGTGTTAGAAATTCTAACAAAATAATTAAACAAGTAAACAAATGTACTTTGCAACGATTATTTATATATCCTATCAAATCGTGTGGTGCATATGAGATTATAGATTCATGGAATCTAAATTCAAAGGGTTTAGAATATGATAGAGAATGGATGATAATAACATCATCTGGAACTTGTTTAACACAAAAACACTATGTAAATTTATGTTTGCTTAAACCTATCATTTCCAAAAAGCAGGGAATTATGAAATTAACATATCCAGGTATTAAATTTTTACAAATTTGACTTTATAGTATAGTTTAACATACTATTATTTTAGTATAAATCATAATAAAACGTTTTAAGGAATGCCAACAATTCAAATACCTTTAGAAAATACTTATGAAAACTCAACAGAACATCCTATATGTCAAAGCAGAGTATGTGGAAGTAGAGTACAAGGTATTGATTGTGGATCAGAAGTTTCCGAATGGTTAAGTTTGGCACTGGGTAAACCAAATCTTAGATTAATTCAACAAAGTGATGAGAGACAAAAGAAAGGTACAATAAAAATATAGATGTGTATTATATAAATCTAGCTGTTATTTGTATTAACTAAACTTTGTATTTTTTGCAGGAATAAATAAGACAGAACTATCATTTTCAAGTCAAGCACAGTATTTGGCAATAAATGAAACAAGTGTATCGTGGCTTGTTGATAGAGTATCTGATAATACAGATTTCAACAAAGACACAACTATACATAGATTTCGAGGAAACATTATTATAAAAGGCTGTGATGCTTTCGATGAAATGCAATGGGAATTTATTCGCATAGGAAATAATAATTTTAAAGTATGAATTAATTAAATTTATAATGTCTAAAATATATTGTTATATATATTTAATTATTACAGGTAAATGGTCCTTGTACAAGATGTCAGATGATATGCATTGATCAAACAACTGGACAAAAAACCATTGAGCCATTAAGAACGTTAGCAGAAGAATTTCATGGAAAGCTGACATTTGGAATTTATTTAACGCGACTGGAGAATACACAAATTAAACTTAAAATTGGTGATCAGATTTATTATTCTTAAATGAATAATTATATAAAATAATTTCCAAATGATTAATTATCTGAACTTTATAAACAGATTGAAATTTAACATAAACCCCAAAAAACCTCTAAATATATTTTATATCAAGCATTTATAGCAAACCATTTATAATAAATAATTAAGTTTCCTTTTATACAATAAAAAATATTGTAAAATAAAATTGTGTACCTGATTTGTAATAAAAAGTATTTGTACTGTGTACTTATTATAAATGTATTTTCATAATAATACACAGTCCGCAGCCTGTTGTTGATCAATTTTTCTCACTGGTTTACCTGCCGATACATCTTTGATCATGTCTGCAACTGCGACAAAGTCAGGAAAGGCTAGCGTTTGAAGCTTTGAATATACCAGCTCATCATTGACTTGCACTTCAAAAGATGCTAAAAAAATAATAATTAAAAATATAATAAAAATAATAATTAAATATAATAATTAAAATAATAAGTAAGTTTATATTTTAATGTGCCTTAATTGTGAAAAAAACTTACCTTGCCTTCCCGCTGCACCAGCCACAGTAACATTGGGAACATTTTTTTTTATTTCCTCTGCCAGTTCTAGAAATTGTTTCTTGTGTCCACACGAGCCACTGCAAAATAACAGTAATTTATTTATACTTATAATACACACACAGTAATTTATTTATTATATAAACCTACAAGATATATATATTTACAAATAAGTTTATCCATAAAAATTGCAATTAAAGTTGCTTGCAAAAGTTATAAAATAATGATAATCCTTATCATTATTTTATTATTATTAATTCTATATTTATAAATAAAAGATGTATGTGTATATATACGATAAATTTTGAAATTGTGTAATGTCTACATCTAACCTAAAATTAACATAGATGAATAAAAAATCTTCTCAGATAATTATATACCAATATTCAACGTCAACTTTTACGTCTGCTTCTTCCGTCATTTTATCATATTTTACGTTACAAACAATCGTTGTATTTTTAATTCGCGTAAATAGTTTATTGTTCGTTTGGCCGCTAAAAATTATATAAAATACACAGATAGCGCAACTGTCAATGTTGGTAAGATTAGGGAAGAAGAGGGAAAAATAAAGTCTGGTAGAAGACATCATGTCGATTCGAGCGCGAACCGTTTCGTATTTTTCGCGTTCATTTAAAACCATTTAAAAAAAAAAGTGAATATACAATATATATATATATTCTAAATACGACTGAGCATGAGAATTTAACATTTCTTAAAACTGGTCACTTTTAAAATTTTTCGCTTCGAAATCGACATTGATCTATCTTCGCTTAAAGATTTTTATTCGCACTTGAAAATGTCGACTGTTAAATATATTAACGTAAATGTGGCACCAGAGTTTGTAAAATTAATTTTTTAATACGGAAAACGACAGCATTTCGATCGCAAGCCTCGTCAATGTAAAAATCGAAATTTAAAATTGTGACCGAACTTAAAAATAAAGCAAATCCAAATACGCAGTATTATTTAATATCGTTTCTAATTGTGGAAAGTGATTTTCGTTTCGCTTGTAGTTGTACGCTTTAAAAAATACAGTAGTTTAAATAAAACAGTCATAGTATATTATCTATAAATTTCAAAATTCTCGAATTCTGCTTTTACATAAATATATTTTCCGATTGTAAATGTTCTAAACATAAAAAATCAATTCTAAATACGACAAAACATAAAAATTTAAAATTTTTTTAAATTAAACACATTATAAATTTTTCTCTTTAACACCGAAATCGATCTATCATCGCTTAAAGACTATGAACGCACTTGAAAATGTTTTTTTAATATATATTAATGTTAATCTAACAGCTGACTATAAGGAATTAATTTTTTTAATATCGAACATGATAGTACGTCGATCGCTCGCGTCGTCAGTGGAAAATCAAAAGTTCAAGTTTTTCCCCAAATTGAAAATAACGCAAATCCAAATCAACAGTCTTATTAAGAATCGTTTATAAATGTGTGAACTGAATTTCGTTTCGCTTTAAGTTGCACGTTTTAAAAAATACAGCAGTTTAAACAAAACTGTCAAAAATGAATTTTTTCAAATTGAAAATAACGCAAATCCAAATCAGCAGTCTTATTAAGAATCGTTTATAGATATGTGAACTGGATTTCGTTTCGCTTTAAATCGCACACTTTAAAAAATACAGCAGTTTAAACAAAACTGACAAAAATAAATTTTTTCAAATTGAAAATAACGCAAATCTAAATCAGCAGTCTTATTAAGAATCGTTTATAGATATGTGAACTAAATTTCGTTTCGCTTTAAGTCGATCAGTTTAAAAAATACAGCAGTTTAAACAAAACTATCTAAAATGAATTTTTTCAAATTTCAAGATTTTTAAATTCTGCTTTCTACATCGATGTAACATTCGAAGGCGAATGTCCCGAACCACAAGAAACGATTCTAAACACGACTGAGCATGTATATTTCACATATCTTAAAGCTTGTCACTTTTTAAATTTTTCGCTTGCACATCGAAATCGATCTATCTTCGTTTAAAGACTTTGAACGCACTTGAAAATGTGTTTTTAATATATATTAAAGTGAATCTGACAGCTGACTATAAGGAATTAATTTTTTTAATACCGAAAATGATAGTACGTCGATCGCTCGCGTCGTCAGTGAAAAAATCAAAAGTTCAAGTTTTTCCCCAAATTGAAAATAACGCAAATCCAAATCAGCAGTCTTATTAAGAATCGTTTATAGATGTGTGAACTGAATTTCGTTTCGCTTTAAGTCGCACACTTTAAAAAATACAGCAGTTTAAACAAAACTGTCAGAAATAAATTTTTTCAAATTGAAAATAACGCAAATCTAAATCAGCAGTCTTATTAAGAATCGTTTATAGATATGTGAACTGAATTTCGTTTCGCTTTAAGTCGCACACTTTAAACAATACAGCAGTTTAAACAAAACTGTCAAAATAAATTTTTTCAAATTGAAAATAACGCAAATCTAAATCAGCAGTCTTATTAAGAATCGTTTATAGATGTGTGAACTGAAATTCGTTTCGCTTTAATCGCACACTTTAAAAATACAGCAGTTTAAACAAAACTGTCAAAAATGAATTTTTTCAAATTGAAAATAACGCAAATCCAAATCAGCAGTCTTATTAAGAATCGTTTATAGATATGTGAACTGAATTTCGTTTCGCTTTAAATCGCACACTTTAAAAAATACAGCAGTTTAAACAAAACTGTCAAAAATGAATTTTTTCAAATTGAAAATAACGCAAATCTAAATCAGCAGTCTTATTAAGAATCGTTTATAGATGTGTGAACTGAAATTCGTTTTGCTTTAAGTCGCACACTTTAAAAAATACAGCAGTTTAAACAAAACTGTCAGAAATAAATTTTTTCAAATTGAAAATAACGCAAATCCAAATCAACAGTCTTATTAAGAATCGTTTATAGATATGTGAACTGAATTTCGTTTCGCTTTAAGTCGCACACTTTAAACAATACAGCAGTTTAAACAAAACTGTCAAAAATGAATTTTTTCAAATTGAAAATAACGCAAATCCAAATCAGCAGTCTTATTAAGAATCGTTTATAGATATGTGAACTGAATTTCGTTTCGCTTTAAGTCGCACACTTTAAAAATACAGCAGTTTAAACAAAACTGTCAAAAATGAATTTTTTCAAATTGAAAATAACGCAAATAAATCAGCAGTCTTATTAAGAATCGTTTATAGATATGTGAACTGAATTTCGTTTCGCTTTAAGTCGCACACTTTAAAAAATACAGCAGTTTAAACAAAACTGTCAAAATAAATTTTTTCAAATTGAAAATAACGCAAATCCAAATCAGCAGTCTTATTAAGAATCGTTTATAGATGTGTGAACTGAATTTCGTTTCGCTTTAAGTCGCACACTTTAAAAATACAGCAGTTTAAACAAAACTGTCAAAATAAATTTTTTCAAATTGAAAATAACGCAAATCTAAATCAGCAGTCTTATTAAGAATCGTTTATAGATGTGTGAACTGAATTTCGTTTCGCTTTAAGTCGCACACTTTAAAAAATACAGCAGTTTAAACAAAACTGTCAAAAATAAATTTTTTCAAATTGAAAATAACGCAAATCCAAATCAGCAGTCTTATTAAGAATCGTTTATAGATATGTGAACTGAATTTCGTTTCGCTTTAAGTCGCACACTTTAAAAAATACAGCAGTTTAAACAAAACTGTCAAAAATGAATTTTTTCAAATTGAAAATAACGCAAATCCAAATCAGCAGTCTTATTAAGAATCGTTTATAGATGTGAACTGAATTTCGTTTCGCTTTAAGTCGCACACTTTAAAAATACAGCAGTTTAAACAAAACTGTCAAAAATAAATTTTTTCAAATTGAAAATAACGCAAATCTAAATCAGCAGTCTTATTAAGAATCGTTTATAGATGTGTGAACTGAAATTCGTTTCGCTTTAATCGCACACTTTAAAAATACAGCAGTTTAAACAAAACTGTCAAAAATGAATTTTTTCAAATTGAAAATAACGCAAATCCAAATCAGCAGTCTTATTAAGAATCGTTTATAGATATGTGAACTGAATTTCGTTTCGCTTTAAGTCGCACACTTTAAAAATACAGCAGTTTAAACAAAACTGTCAAAATAAATTTTTTCAAATTGAAAATAACGCAAATCCAAATCAGCAGTCTTATTAAGAATCGTTTATAGATGTGTGAACTGAATTTCGTTTCGCTTTAAGTCGCACACTTTAAAAATACAGCAGTTTAAACAAAACTGTCAAAATGAATTTTTTCAAATTTCAAGATTTTTAAATTCTGCTTTCTACATCGATGTAATTCGAAGGCGAATGTCCCGAACCACAAGAAACGATTCTAAACACGACTGAGCATGTAATTTCACATATCTTAAAGCTTGTCACTTTTAAATTTTTCGCTTGCACATCGAAATCGATCTATCTTTTTTAAAGACTTTGAACGCACTTGAAAATGTGTTTTTAATATATATTAAGTGAATCTGACAGCTGACTATAAGGAATTAATTTTTTTAATACCGAAAATGATAGTACGTCGATCGCTCGCGTCGTCAGTGAAAAAATCAAAAGTTCAAGTTTTTCCCCAAATTGAAAATAACGCAAATCCAAATCAGCAGTCTTATTAAGAATCGTTTATAGATGTGTGAACTGAATTTCGTTTCGCTTTAAGTCGCACACTTTAAAAATACAGCAGTTTAAACAAA